GGTGCAAAAACGGTTCGTAGCAATCAAAAGCTGTTCAATAGCGGTCCAACATCGGTTCAAAGCTGTCCAAAACCGGTTCAAAACAGCTCGAAAGCGGTTCATAAGCGGTTCAGAGGCGGTCCAACATCGGTTCAAAGCTACCCACACCGGCTCAATGATGTTGTTCAAAAGTAGTTCAAAGTTGTCCAAGTGTGATATAACAATCAAAACCTCGTCGATATCGGCCATAATCAAAGTCCTTTACAATACACATGAAATCGTGCTTATGCATCCAACACTTTGAGCCCATTAATTTAAACTGCTCAAAGGTCATGTCGCTACCAACATGCTCATCATATACATGTTTCAAATTTATATAGTCTTGCTTAAATAGGACAATAACGTTTACATTATCGCGTATTAGCTGCTTAGGTATTTTGGAATATGTCTGACAAAGATAGAACGAGTCCACACCAGAATGTCGTCCTCTGCAGAAATAATCCCTAATTATATCTTGATTTAGACACGCAACATCGTCAAATATCATTATCGAATTTTTGCTAATCTCCTCTAGAGTTATTACGTCATCCTTATCACTATAAGCATTATACTTAATGCCTTTAATGGGTTTAAGTACTTGTTCCAGATATTTATACTTCGGCTGCTCTAACGACTTGGAGTATACATATACATTTTCAAACTTCAGACCATTCGCTGCTTCTAATAAACTTATCATCGCATTCGTTTTTCCGGATCCCGATGGTCCACAGATGACCGCTCTAATTGAAGCCGGAAATAATGAGCCGTGTTTCCCCGACACTTCCGATTCAGTATACAAATCATGATCCTCAACATGCAATTGCTGAGGTTGCTTCATAAACTTCATTATTACTCGATAGTTTGAGTTATACTGATCAGTTCATGGCCGATCGCCGAGTAGGAAAGGGGTTTATAAACAGCTTGATAAACAAATTGCCGGTGGAACTTCATATCCCCGGATATCAATACTGCGGACCGGGAACCAAACTACAGCAGCGTCTAGCTCGGGGTGATCAAGGAATAAATCAGTTGGACGCTGCATGCAAGCAACACGACATCGCATACAATCAATTCAAAGACGTTGAGAATCGTCATCGGGCCGATAAAGAACTTCAAATTCGAGCTTGGGATCGTGTAAAGGCAAAGGACGCTAGTTTTGGAGAGAAAGCAGCAGCATTAGCCGTAGCTGGAGCAATGAAGGCCAAAAGGAAGCTTGGCATGGGAGCAACACGACGTATCGCAAAGCGCGGGAAAAAGAAGAAGACTTGTTCGTTTAGAGGTGGAGTTTTAACGCCAATTCGAAATTCAATAAAAGGCCTATCATCATCGGAAAACTTGAATAAACTTATCAAAATAAGTTTGTTGGCCGCCAAGAGAGCGGTTAAAGCTGCAGGCGGTAAGCAAAGAGTGAGAGTGCCGCGAGTGATACCAATACCTAAAGTCGGAGGTTTTCTTCCGTTCCTAGTACCGCTCTTTGCCGGTCTTTCGGCTGCGGGCGCAATGGCCGGTGGAGCTAGCGGTATAGCTAAAGCAATTAACGATGCGTCGGCCGCGAAGAAGCAGCTGGAGGAAAATAAACGGCATAACATGGCAATGGAGGCCGCCTCGTTGGGCAAACAAGGCAGTTCGCTGTATCTTCAACCGCGTAAAACGGGATACGCCTTGTATTTAAAACCATATCCGGCAAAAAACTTTTAAATTTGCCGCGAAAAGCATTAACGGACTCGGATCTTGTAAAGTATGCGAAAGACGTACCCTTCTTCAGAGGAGTGTTTATGCGTGATACATTACCGCGAAAACCCCATTTAAACGAGTGCGCTATCGTAAACCTGGATGATGCTAAAGGAAGAGGTACGCATTGGGTTGCTTTCAAGAAACGCGGCATGAAGGCAGTTTACTATGATAGCTTCGGCGACTTGACGCCACCAATAGAAATAGTTAAATATTTATCCGGATGCAACATCATATACAATTATACTAGGGAGCAAAATTATAATACGCTGATATGTGGACATTTATGTTTAAATTTTCTGTATAATAAATAATAATTGAACCTAGAGTTTGTTTACTTCATCAGTCATGTCTCAAACGTTCACCTTAACAGGTGCCGGCAACGTCCTCAGCACCTCATATTTTCCACCGATCGAACTAGACCGCAATTATCAATATGGATTAGGGTTGGTTGGCTTTTACGGCTGTAATTCTATACGCAATATATTTGAGGGAAACAACAAATTTTACTATGCAGCGGCCGATAGCATCTTCAAAGAGATTACCATTCCGAGTGGCGCGTATGAAATTGAAGAGATCAACAGGATTCTACAGCATCATATAAACGAACCAACCAATTCGATGGACTTTATGTTGAGACCTAATAATAATACGCTAAAATGCGAAATGAAAACCATACATGATATTGACTTTAGGAAATCGAACTCCATCGGTCGCATGCTCGGTTTCTCTCCTAAATTGTATAAAGGAGGTAGAACCCATGAATCTGATCTGGACGTGCAAATAATCAACGCTACTAATATACACGTCGAGTGTAATCTAACGGGTGGAGCATACAGAAACAGTGCGCTATCTCATACAATCTTTGAATTTGACGTACACGTTGAGCCGGGCTATAAGTTAATCAAGGAGCCGGCTACGATTATATATTTACCGGTACTCGCGCATCAAATAGATAACATAACCTTGAGGTTAGTCGATCAAGACGGTCATTTAGTAGATTTCGGCGAAGAAAGAGTGACTATTCGATTGGAGCTGAAAAAATATGGGACTTAAAATTTTCTGTAAGCAAGGTTCTTCATTTAGTCATCCATCGTCGGCCATCGACGCAACAATTGCTCACGGTGCATTAACCGAAGACGACGTACAGTTTTTGCAATATCTCGGCTATACAGTACTAAGAAAAGATGGAAGAAGCATTAAAAAACCTATTCACGGGCGTAAAGTATGAAGACATGATCGTGGAATGCGATCGCAGAACATACCATCCTTATACGACAAACGCTTATGGTAACTCCGATGAGATTAATCTCGTCATACAGAAAGCGGATCTCATCACGGCCACCTACGATAGCGTTATATATTTAGAAGGAACGCTGAATCCGACTACCGCAAATAAAGCTTACGATTTCACCAACAACGCGCCGCTCTTTCTCTTCGACGAAATTAGGTTTATTTTGGGTGATCAGGTGATAGAAACTGTTCGATTACCCGGAATAAACAGCACCATCAAGGGGTTTTGCTCATACACATCAGATCAAAGCAGATGCTTATCGCATGCAGGTTGGAGCCCTTCCGGGTCTCCTCAGATACTAAATAGCACGAAGACGGCTTTCTGCGCTTCCATACCTCTAAAGCATGTACTCGGGTTTGCCGAAGGATACAGGAAGCCTCTAGTCAACATCCGTCAAGAACTGATATTAATTCGTTCCAAGGACGATAGTGATTGCTATAAAGGCGAGACTGAAGTTAAGATTAATCTTACGAAGGTAACATGGAAAGTTCCGTACATAATTCCTAACGATGCTATGAAGTTATCGATCTACGGGAGGATTAACAAGAATTCGCCGATACAAGTGGCGTTTCATGCGCGCGACCTTTACGTATACCCAACCTTACCCAGCACCAGATCATTGGTTTGGTCGGTAAAAAGCAGCACCGGTTTTCAACGGCCTCAATGGCTACTGATTGCGTTCCAAACTAGGAAGCGAAATAACAAAGAAGCAGATGCGAGCGAGTTTAACCATTTAAGCATTTCCAATATAAAAGCAAACATTAACAACCGAAGATATCCGTATGAGCAGCAAAATCTGGTTTTTACCGATAACAAGTATGTGGATGCTTACGAAGAATATTTAAACTTTCGTAATCAATATTACGACTCGTCGCAGGAGAGCTCCCTTCTTAGCTACAAAGAGTTCGAAAAGCAGCCTATCTTCATTATCAATTGCACCCGTCAAAACGAGAGCGTCCATAACGTGGTGATCGATTTGAAGCTGGAAGTTGAAGCATCATCTGCATTTGCAAATGAAACTATCGCTTACTGCGTTATTTTACATGATGCATTAATCGAGTATGAACCGTTTACTGGCATCGTACGCAAAACTTAAATATAGGTCACGTAAAAGTGTAATTAAACTTTATATAAATGAAGAGTGTCAGTTTTGACGAATCAAAAAATAAAATTTATATCTTGCGAGTGTGGTCCTATGCTCACAGAGAAGCAAGAAAGGGTCCGTGGGAAACTGTCGCATTAGATAGGTACCGCTTCAAATGTAAAATAGAACGCATTGCAGCTGTTTTGGAGCCCATATTATGTAATCGTATTAAGATGTATCAATTGCAATAAAGTAAAAAAATGATTGATTGATTTTGGTTGTTTTATTTAAAAAAAATTACTGAATTACATGCGTATTATAAATATAATAAACGTTAGATAATGCGCAACAACAAAGTGAGCGCACATGATAGTAGCAACATGCTTCTAATTTAGGTAGAGCTGGTTCTTCTTCCACCTCGGTGACATTTTGCGATAGAGTTTTTCGAATGAAATCGGCTTTTTCTTTTCCTTTAACGTATACTTGGTCTGATGATGATATTAACTGGCGAAGTATAATTGGAAACATGTAGGATGGCGTATGACCATGCTCCCATTTAATTCCGTGATGGTTATGAATTAGCCAGGTAGCTTGCCGTTGTAAATCGGTAGATAAGCTATTCCACGGAAATGGAGGCCTGAACATAAAATGAGCAACCTGCTTGCCATTATAAATCGCCAGTTCTTTTGGTATAAATACGTTTCTTGATGTTTTAAAGCCTTGTACATCGATTACAGTCTGCACCATTATGTCGTTGAGAGAGGATTAAGTATTTATAACCTAATTTTTAATTCATTTCAATATATTCCCGCACTACCACATCCTTATTAGTCCTCCAAAAGAAAATTTTGAATCAGTATAGATTTTACAATCATGCAAGCTGCAGTTGTCGTACTGAGCTGGTTTTTCTGTATTAGTGCTAATGCTGCTGCTGCTGCTGCTGATAATGTTGACGACGGCAGCGATACAATCAGTGAGCGTGAAATCGATATGGCATATAGTCATCTCACCAAATATGGATATATAAAGGAGCCTGGTGAAGGTGAATCAACTCAAGATAATCGTACAAATATCACCGTTAACGCTTTAAAGAAATTTCAAGAACTCTATAAACTACCTAGTGATGGCAGATTAAATGCCGAAACATTACAACTCATGTCTCGACCTAGATGCGGAAATATTGATGACCCAGCAGCGTATATGACTCATCGGTATAAATGGACAAAACAGACTTTGATTTACTATATTTCCAATATGCATGACCTGCACATTTTACAGATGACGGATAAAGCATTTCAAGTTTGGGCGAACCACACAAATTTGAAATTCAAATATAGCTCAAGGAACCCAGACATATTAATATCATTTCATACCCGAAAGCATGAGTTCGCTTCACCACCATATCCGCAATGTGCATTCGAGTTTGATGGATTGGGCAATGTATTAGCCCATGCATACTTTCCCTCCAGAGATCAGAATGTTGTTGAAATGCATATAGATTGGGAAGAACGCTGGCATGTAGCAGATGCAAATGCACCTCCCCCCGGTTATTCTAGTTATTTCCAAGTTGTCTTACACGAAATAGGTCATACTCTCGGATTACACCATTCGAGCGATGAAAATGCACTCATGTTTCCTTATTACAATTCAAATATGATCACGCTACATGAGGATGATATAGCTGGAATCCGAGCACTATATCCTAGTGATACTGCTGGTACCCCTTCACCAGAGAATAAAACTTATCATCTTTCAACGCGTATTAAGACAACTACACCTACTCTCAAGACCATTAAACCACCTGACCTGTGTACCATTCAAATCGAACACTTTTTGATTCTAAACAAACGACTTTATATGTTTTATGAACATTGGGTTTGGATATCGGCGTTAAACAGCAGCAAAGTGGAACCTGCCAAGAATCTGCTTGAGTGGTTAACGTTTCTTCCGGCATCTTTTAAACGTTTGGAAGCGGTATATCAAAAGCCTAACGGTGATGTTGTCTTCTTTAGTGGCGGTCGCATATACATAGTGCAATTCCCTAGTCTGCAACTGCTACCAGGATGGCCTCAACCTTATAGCCACTTCACAATTCCCAACAGCCATAAAGTGAATGCTGCAGTTAACACCTATACCGGACGCACGCTTATTTATCATGGTGCAAATGAACTGCTAGATTTGGATGATTGTAGTCATCGGCCTAAAAATCGCTTAATATATGCGGAAACCTTTCCGGATATTCCGGCTAAGATAACTTCTATATTCAAATACATGGATGGATACCTATACTTTATCACCGGAAATAAATTTCATAAATATAGTGAATATACAGGTCGTGTAATTCAATCAGGTGACATTGATCTATCCTTATTCAATATTCATTGTGCTAATAAAGGCGTATTGGAGCAATTATATAATGTATTAGCTAAACTTTTAAAGTTTGATAAACATATTGAATTGTATATGCGGCATTAGGTGGATAATAAGTTGATGTGTATCCATACCTATGAATAAATAAAAAGCATTTTTATGTTAAAAAATTATTTATTTTAACATGCTAATTTTACTAACAACCGTATTTATAAATTTTCGAGGGTGAATGTTTACAATTTCTGTTAGAAGAGTCAAGTCTTGCAAATTATCATACTTTTCCTTCCAACTGCTTAGCGATGTTAACAATTTGAGATTTTGGCATATCAATTTCCCTCTCGATAAAATGCTCTCTTCGCTAGTAACACCTTCGGTATGTAGAATTTTTGCAACCTCACGCGTAAAGTCATCATAAAGACAATACATCGCATAGTGGTTGGCAACATCCAATTTTTGAGTAATTACTTCGGAAGCGATAAATATCATATCGATTGCTTGCTTGGAAAATATTATAGATTTATCTGATTCGCTTATTCGAATACATCCGCCGTCTTCTTCTTCTTCCGCTTCAAGTATTATTATTTTGGACTCGGTAAAAATTTCATGCTTGCTCCTTCTTTTAGGCGTACACTGCACCATATGTTTAATTAAGTGTTCAGTTTTAAAATTGAATATTTCTTTCCATTCGCAACGCTCAAATTGTAAATACTGGTCATCATAATGCGGAGGACATGATATTTGCACGATGGAATCGAAAAAGTACTCGTCCAGTGTAACGCCAACTTCGAGAATAATGCCTCCGTCTAAGAATAACGACCACGAAGATATTAAGGTTTCCTTTCCTATAAACATACATCTTTTGCTTCCACAATAATCGGCGTTATTCAATGCATACCTTGCTCCTCTTTCGAGGATTCATTCACCGATAATTTATCCAGCGAAAGTGATGACTTTGCATCATCTTCGCTACCCCACGAATCTTGCGATTGTTGCTGTATTTGTGCACTCATCTCGATATAAATCGATTTTTTACTTTCTTATTACTCTTATACCTGCTCTTAAAAGTACTTTTGGAGGGGATTTGAAGAAATCCATCATGCGCAGTGTATCTTAAAGGTGTAGGTATAAAACGGGGATGCTAATGTTCATTTCGGTCCTCATATCGAACGATAATGGATCGAATACTTTACAACATCGCTAGGCGAGAGGCTCAAAAGGAGTCTAATTATATTGAGACGAAGAGCGAATTGTTAAGTTTAAGTGTAAATGACTTATTGAAAATATGGATCAAGATTCCAACCGTATTTCAAAGAGATTGTGAGCTGCGGAATCGAATACGATGTACAAAACACTGGAATCAACCATGGCAGCGCACCCACATCGATGGTCCAGCGCCGTTAATGATTTATTGTAGAGATTGTATTATGGCGGAGCGCACACAAAAAACTTTGTAGCTTCATAATTTCTAGCATTTTGTATATGTAGATATTTATTATATTAATTAAAATAAAATGGTTATTACACCTTTAAGCGTCTTATCATAGCTGCTATAAATAAACACTATCGCGAGATTGCAGCTTCCCATTCTAATTATAATAACAACTAAATTTCGCACGCTGTTACTCTATACCTATAGCAGGTAGGGTTAGCTGTAGCTCATATGTGAGTATCTAACGCCACCCTCTACGCCCCTGCAATCGCGCGCCCCTTTTAGCTCAGTTGACTAAAGCGGTAGATTCGTAATTCATGTATCGACGGGCATCCGTTCATGTTAACAGGAAACTTACATCCGGTAAATTCTAATCAGCAGGAAACAGCGTCCGGTCACGTCAACAGGAAGCAGCATCCGGTCACGTCAACAGGAAACGTAAATGGCGGGAACAGGAAGCAACATCCGGTTATCGGCAGGAAGCAGCATCCGGTAAATTCTAATCAGCAGGAAACAGCGTCCGGTCGTTAACAGGAAACTAACATCCGTTCACATCAACAGGAAGCAGCGTCCGGTCACGTCAACAGGAAGCAGCATCCGGTAAATTCTAATCAGCAGGAAACGTAAATGGCGGGAACAGGAAGCAACATCCGTTCACGTCAACAGGAAGCAGCGTCCGGTGTTGTAAACAGGATATCCTAATCAGCAGTATGCGTTTCCTGGTCCAGAAATAAACGCGGGAAACCTAGATATGACGTAAACAAAATGGCCGATACTGCATTCTGATTGGTGTGACGCCGTAAACAAAATGGCCGATACTGCATTCTGATTGGTGTGACGCCGTAAACAAAATGGCCGATACTGCATTCTGATTGGTGTGACGCCGTAAACAAAATGGCCGATACTGCATTCTGATTGGTGTGACGCGTTTCCTGATCCAACCCAAAATGTGACGTAGACAAAATGGCCGACCGAAATACTCGATTCTGATTGGTGTGACGCGTTTCCTGGTCTAGATCCCCCCGGACGCAAAACAGCCAAAATGTGACGTAGACAAAATGGCCGATACTGCATTCTGATTGGCTCACACGTGACCACGTGACCGAAATACTCGATTCTGATTGGTGTGACGTCACTTCCTGGTCCCGTACGTACATTGCTCATCTACTCACTTCAGAAGTTTCTAGTACAAGAGCCCACCCTTCCCTGCCCCCCTTCTGCTACCAAATATTTCCCCAAGATAATAAAAATGGCCAAAAACATTTTCTTACATACAGGATTAAGAATAAAACCGTCGAACGTTTTCTTGGATTTTAATTAACATTTAACGTACTTATCAATAATGTCTAGTCTTCGATTAGATCAGAAAACATGTTGCGCGTTTGTAACTTCAATAGGTTTCAACACGTTTGAACAAAATTTCCGATTATAAAACGAGGGTGGCATATATATTAGGGTTCGGTCGATTAGATTACCCTCTTGCTAATAACTTGGTTAGTCGCAGCTGATAAAATTTATGCAAAGTCATAATCTTCAATCAAAAACCGACATTAATCTTGACTACGGGTTTAACAAACTTTTAGACCGACCTTGTACTCACATGAAGTACAAAAGGGAACGGAGACCCTATCCGAATGGAATTTACCGTATTCGAAGGGTCTACGCGGATTGAACAAGGAACTTTCAAAGCTCTACGTACATAGAACGAAGGTCTTGGATAACAATACCCTCATTGCGATAAATGGTGCTTTATGATCAGTAGATGTGGGTGGCTCGCGGTTCATCTTAATTAAAATATATTTCGAGAAAGCAGAAGGACTTATTAGTTACGAGGAAGTTAGCAATCGCGCGTGACAAAGAAATATTAATTGAGATACACCCCCCTTTAATACTCTGCTTTTCTGATACTAATGAAATAGCAACGGAATAACACCGCGAGCAACGCATTTGTTCTCTTATTTCTAAAACAGATGTTACGAAAGGAGGGTGACAACAATTACATGAGCTTAGTCACACCCTTATTACAGTTTTTCTACGTGTTGCTTCTTAATTATTTCCTAGCTAATTGGCTGATAGATTTGGTTCATAATTAACCGAAATGTCAAACCTCATTTCCTCACGAATTTCGATCTACAAATTTGATTAATCCACCTCACAGGCGGACGGACGGACAGAGACCCCAAAATTATGAACTCGCTATTAGCTCGTTAAAAAAGGGGGCGGTGAAACCTGTGAAAGTGGCGCATGAAGATGAATTATGTTTTCATCAGGTATTATTATTACTAGTTGTGCTAGGGGGTGGATCCAGACGGTTCCTATACTGCTACTGCGCCCGTGGAAAAAGGTTCTTGGGTTGTCGTTCACCACCCTCCCGATCTGGTCAGATCCAAGAGGGCCGTGCTGAGAGGTACTACACGCACTTACGCGTTGGGAGGTTTTGCGGTAAGGTGCGTGCGCAATCCTTTCGTTCAACTAGGTTGGTTTTGGGGTGCCAAATGGGCGATGGCCAAGGTTGTGGCTTGTCGCGAGGGAAAATCTTCGTGTATACGTTTCCTACGTGCTGAAAAAATCCGTTATGAACAAGATCTGGCGGAACCTGGTGGCGTACGGTCCCATTAGGTCCACCAACACGGACTCCCAGAGGAGCGTGGGTTACTTGGGTCGGAGGGTGAACTCCTGAACTGAGCCCCTCTTTACGGCGGTGCAGATCCAGCGGCTACGAATGTAATTAAAAGCTCTGGCTTCCAACTTGGAGAAGTAATAAATTTGGGAGATGGCCCTGGGTGCCCCCAAACAATCTGTATAAATTATTCCATTAACTTTTGATTACTTTCCACCTATTTTTCATTATAGCGGGTGGACTTCAAGTAGATTATGGAATCAATTTTGACAGATGTGTATTTTAAGCGCACTTTTCAAGAAAAATTCCACTGATATGAGAGTGAAATCTGTACGTCCATTCGTCCGGGGACCTGTCTGCATCATTTCTATAGCTCATTACTTAAAAGTTCGAAGACAAAAATAAAGAAGGGAATATTTACACATATTTCCAAAAGGTAACTACAGTAGTTTTATTTAACAACTGGCTCTACTGAACAGCTTACCTAAAAACAGTAAATTCAATATACCAGTATAAAATGTATGATACGTAATTTATGACTCTCAGGGTGTGCACCAGAGGCCCAAATAATTTGGGGTGGACATCTAGGCTCACGTTTTTTTACTACGTGCTTATCATATAGACACAATATTTATTTCAGTTCCATTTAGAAGCGTCAATTTTCCATTCGGCGAATTGCCAAATGTCACACGTTTAACGTAAAGGATATGTAGGTAAAACTCGTGTTTCTGAAAAAGGAAACGAGAGTAAATTACTTTTGTCCCTCGTACATCTCTGTTCGATCTGGGTAACAAGAATAATTTTGTCGGAAATAAAGTGAGGTGGCATTTTCTCACGGCTTCGACGCCGACGACGGTGACGGCTACCTAACGTAGCGCGGTACTCGCTCGAAGCATCGCGGAAAAACGAAATTAGAAGAGTGTCGGAATTTAATGTCAAATAATTTAAAAAAGGACCCCTTTAATTAGTCCGCCGGATACATGACCATCGTAAACCAGTTCGTAACTCCCACAACACAGGTCGTGGTGGCACAGGGGGTGTAAATTAGCGGTGTAG